GGCAGGTCTGTCAGGTGCTGAGCCAGCTGGAGCCTTGGCTGACTCTTGTAACTGGCTTCATTTTTTCCCCAGCAGGCATCACTGCGCTGCGTGAGCTCTTGGAGAGCATGGTGTTGGATTCCAGTCCACGGATGGAAAAGTGAAAGGGGAAGAGAAGAAAGAAGTGATCCATGTAACCACAGACCTGACCTCAGCAGCATGCCAGTTTTTGTTGGAGGGAAACAATAATCAAGGACATAGCGGTAAATGGATGCAACATAGGTTTCCCCCAGGCAAAACTCATTGCCTGTATTTCTTTGATTAAAATAACTGCTGTTCCAGACAAAGAAAATGTGGTAGATTTAATCTATTCGGTTATCAGTAAAAAACTCCTTCTGCTGCACTGGAAATGCTTAAGTAAGTTGGAGAAACTGGAGATACGCTGTGAAACATAGAAAACTGCGTAAATTGTATGGTAGGTGAGAGCTGGCACAGTGTAGTGCTGTGAAGGAATATCAGGTGTGAAAGGAATTTAGATTAGTTACCAGTGGACTTCCTGAAAGATCTGTCTTGCATTTGATCTAATTTGCTATTAATGACCTTGGCACAAAGAGAAGAAAACTAATGAAAAATTGGGGAAAATGCTGACAATACAAAGTCTAGAAACATTGTCAATGCAACAGAGGATTAGGGTGTCACACAGGAAGAACGGAATAACCTTGAGTACTACAATAACAGAGATAGGATGAAAATTAATAGCATACAGTGCAAAACTGTGTGCTTAGGGACTAACTAACTAAATGAGGAGGATAACATTTAGAATGACTGCAAGCCACAAATACAATGCAGCCATGAAAAAAGCAAAGCATGTATCAATCAGGAGAGTTACTGTCAATGAAGACAGGACAGTAAGAAGGTAACTGTGTAAGGGCTAGATCGGACTGAGACTGACATTCTCCATACAATTCTGGTCACCTATGCACTCAAATTATGAATTTAAATAACGTAAATTAGAGCACCAGTAGAGAAGGTGAACAAGAGAATGAAGAATTGATGCACAGTCTCTGATCCAATAAGAAGTTAAAGAAAAGTAATGGATTTAGCCCAGTAAAATGATGGAAGGAGGAAAGACACTGGTTTGCTGTATCATATGGCACTTAGCCCATGGCAAAGAGCTAGGGAGGGAAAACACTGTACGAGCAAAGGAACAGAGCTGATGCAAGAACAAATGACTGAAACATGACAATGAATAATTAAGGCTGCAAAGAAAAGATCCTGACCCACATCAACAGCAAGGTCACAGAGGAGCCTGCCAGTGAGGGACTGAGACTGGAGCAAAATCAGAAAGGAGCCTATGACATGCTGCTGGTAGTAGCAGAAAACTAATCCTTGAACTCTGGAGATACTTTCAAGTCCTAAACAGTGAAAATAAGGGCTTGGGTCTCCTGAGGTTTTCTGCAGATGAAGGCAGGGATTTCTGGTTTTTATGCTGCTGTTAAGCATCTGTGTAGGAATACCATATATTCAGCAGGTCCCTGAAAGAACTTAACCTCTATTAAAATCTATTACAGCAAAGAGGAGGAAAATTAACAGTGTTTGCATACAGGCCACTACAAGTCTAACAGTTAGGAAATTTCATGTGTTTTTGGTTCTTTTCCTGCATTAGAGGGGAGCAGTTTCATATTCATAGACCCAACCATGCATGTTGAAGTGTGTGGCCACTGGCCGACCTATGTTTTCAGTAATAACAGCTGATGTGATCTGTGATTTCTGAGTCTTGTGCCAACATGAGTGCTGGGTTTGCCTACATATTTGGGTTGGTGTTCAGTGTGCTGGAAACAACCCATACGCACCGCATGCAAGAATCCAGATTCCATCTGGTTACAGCAGGGTTTTGTAAAAAATATCTAAAGACCTAGGCAAAGGATTAGAATAAAGAGGTGCTAATAGGGTGCAGTTGGGATAGGAAAGGAAGCTGTAAAGAATTTAATGGAAAAAGAGGGTCAAGGAACATAAAAAATAAAATAGGAAGAAAAAGAGGCATTTTTTTAAAAGGTGAAAGAGTAACAATAATAAAGAATGAAAGATTCTTTTATTTTTGCCAGTTTCAACAAAACCCTTAAGAAAATTCTCTTCTCTGACGTTTAATTTTAAAACATGTCAGTGTATCCAATCCTTTTTTCAATCCTGCTTTGTTTTTTTTCAGATGCTGCATTGCAGTTGCAGAGCTCTAATCTTCTTCTTGGCCTCATGAAACTACTGTCCCCTGCCCCACATTATTTGGCTCTCCCAAGAGGTGGCTGAAGTTCAAAGGGATATATAATTTGCAAAGCAGTTTGGGATTGTGCTGGAAGAAAGACACTGTTATTAATATCATGCCCTTCTTTTTCTCCAGATCACCTTATATATATAAAGTGGGTTTTGGTTTTTTTTTATTACAATCTCAACAGCAATAGCCTCCTCCTCTTCCTCCATTTACACAACATGATCTCACCCCATCCCAAAGAGTTTGCAATCCAGATTACACACAGATTGAGAGAGGAAGTAAAGGGACAGTGTGGGATAGTGAATTAAAGTCACACAGCACATCCAAAAGAGAAACAGAGACCGAGTGTCCTATGACCCAGTCCTGTGCTGGCCATAAGACCCTTCCCTAAAGAGAAATTCTCTGTAAGGTGATTCTTTTAAATTTTGAGTAAAAGTGTAAATGTAGATCAAAACGCACAAAACAGAGCAGGTTTACTACAGAAAGGGAAGCATTGTTCCTTCTTCTACACTCAGGTAAAGGCCTTAGGTCTGAGTGGAAACGGGAAAGGACCTTATTGTAACAAGATGCTACAATAATTTTACTTGAAACCCTAAAACAAATTCAGGGCTCATAAAAAAAAAGCATTGACATGGTGAAAGAGAATGGTTTCTTTAAGATGTTCTTGGTCAGAGAATATGCTAAGCATGCATTTCTAATATCTGGGTGGGCAAACGCAAGTGGAAATTTAAATTCAACAGAGGCACAGAGAATGTGCTTCTGAAAATGTTTCCAGTCAAAAGCATGTTAAGTGTGAAAGTGTGGTCTACACGGAGGGAGTGAGAGAGTGTGGTCTATCAGATCATCAGCAAGGATTTCGTGGCCTTTCCGGGTACTAAGCACATTTGATGTTTGCTGTCATTGCTCTGACAAAAAATGGACCAATGAGAGTGTCACTGTGCCAGTGCTTATATATATCTCTATATATCTATATATATCTCTATCTCAATAGAATATTATGTTTCAGGAGGTTTTGTGTGATTTAACCTAACCCACTGTCACTGCCCTGGACAGGCAGCAATGTCATGGTAAAAGTGTGCAACAAAGAGGAGACTTCACCAAGGGCTCAGGGTCATGGAGATCTTATTGAGAAACAAGGCTGTGGGTCTTACGGCTCTAACTGATGGCCAAGACCTCCCTTTGTTGCTCTCAGCTAGTAGAGACAGAAGCTGCCCATTTCTTCCAGAGCTAAGTTGCTTTTCTTCATCTCCATCACCTGGAATCCCTCCATACACCTGCCTGGGCTCACTCCAGTTTCCTCCCAATGGCTTCACAAAAGGTCTAGAAGAAATATTTCATGCCAGGGCAGAAATACAAGCAGATGCTCCTTGTTTCTGTCTTTCTGACAGAATGACATGACAGAAATCCCACCATCACTGAATTAAGGAAACTTCCTCAGGGAAATGACAGTTGTTTCCTTGAAGTTATTGGGAGTTTGGCTCTCCTTACACACCTAGAAGCACACAGGTTACCTCATTATACCTTTCTGTACCACTGAAAGCAGTATGGCCACAATATTGTACAGCAGCAATAATAAGCAGTGGAGACCAAAAGAAAACCTGAAACAGCTTAGCTTTATTGATGGATTACCTGACACTGGATTTCACTGCTTCAGGGCGCTTTAATCAGAGCGCAGGTCTAATTAGAAGGAAGTGTATTGTTTCTCATTTTCCCTATTGTTTCTGCCAGCAGGATTAGCTTTGTAGGTACGTTTCCCTGGCTTATCTGATTACACAAGATGCAACAGCTAGCAGGTTGTTTTGAATATGCTTTTTAAGATATTGTTGAGCTGAATCTTAAATTGACTTTAATTTCTAACTACTGTCAAAAGTGGAGTGTCTACCTCACTCCACAATGCTAAACATTACTGCAGAGCAAGACAGAACTTATTTGTTAGCAAACAAATCGAACAAATTAATTTGCCTTCCTGTGTTTTGTCATTTTGGCCAGAAATGTCTGTCTTTATACAATGCAGATCAAAATTACTTCAGCTAAAAGTGCTTGCCAAATTAAAAAGAGAGCTTTTTATTATTTTTAGAAATTGTTACTATTGGATCTCTAGTTACTCCTGCTGATGCAGAAAAGCACCCTTACTGAGGAAAGCATCTAAAATGTGTTTCATCATAATTTCTTGATTTCAGCAAGATTCAGGTATGCTTCCAAAACTATGCAGGTGTTGCTAGACACTGGTACAACCTTCACATGAAGAAGAGATACTTCTCGCCTAGAGACTCCCAGTATGAACTATGCTAATACAAATCAGCATGCAACACAGCAGGTGAGCTGTAGTAGCTTAAAGGCTGTGGGTATTCTGAGGTTTTCTGTAGCAATGTTTGACAATTAAGCAAACCCTACTCTGTGCTGATTAAAAAAAAGAAAAAGTTAGATATGCAGTCACTGCACTCTTGTCTAGCTTTATACTGCAAGCTGCCCTATCACCCAGGAGGCAGCCAAGGGGGAAAAAACCCCATCCCCAAACAATGCACGAAGGCAGCTTGCATGGAATCTGACTCTACTGGCCACAAATTAAATGGACTCTGAGCTAATGAAAATCTGACCTGCTCAACAAAAGGAAATGAACATTACAGCTGGTTACCATGGCTAACACTGTGTTCCAATAATTTTAGACATTTTCACCATGTTCACCAGATGGAGGCTTTGGAAATGGGCAATTTGTAAAGGAAAAGAATATTGGGTTTTATTATTTTTTAACTCCTTACCGTGACTGGCAGGGGTGTGTGTTACATTTCCTGACCTGGGGCTCAGGGCGATTCACTCGTTGGCAGTCACTGTCGTTCACCAGTGTCATGGTCTTGTTAATAATTCGAGTACAGGACACAATAGTTTTCCGTTCACCTACAAGTCAAATAAAAAGCAATTTTGAAAAAGGAAACCAGTGGCTAAGAACAAAACCATGACAATTCATTAACCAAAACTCAAAAGCTGGGAGCTCCCTACTATCCCTACAAGATATAATCTACACAGACCTACCACCTCTGCAAGCAATCTTATTTCCTACTTCTGTCTTACCTTTGTAGTCGTCTGGGGTTTTTTTTTCAGAAAAGCTACAAATCTTTCCCCAGTAATTGTGAAATTGACTGCGTTACAGGAACAACACCTTGGCGTTTCTCTTTCTAGTGTTTAATGCAAAAATGATCTTGAAAACAATTTGCTTTCATTTCTGGTTCCTCCTCCACGTGTAGCTGTAGTGTGCCCTGTAATCACCTAGGACAGGTGCTCCAGCTGTGTAAGCTGAAGCCACACAACTGTCCACCCCTCAGTGACTGATCATGACAGGACAGCTGCCTCCTGCTGCTCCCCATTCAGAAAGAGTCAGGTTGAAAAGGAGTGACTGGGGTTCTAGAGTGATAAACTGTTCATATTACACAAAGAGGTGAAATTAAGCCACCAGAATAAATTCTTTCTCATCTTCTGGTCCTTCAGATATACTATTTAAAAATCTGGCCAGTAGGAGACATCTCAGGAGTAGTCAGCATTTCTCACATAAACTGTCTGTGCATCAGGAGTTTCACAGCAGCAGTGTGGCCCTCAGGGTTCAGCTTTCCACTGTGTGACATCAGGAAAGCTGTGCCACAGGGCGGCATGACAATGACCAGATGTGACAAGGAAAACGCCATCCTTGCACCATGTGACTTTGCCTTACTGCTAATTATTTTAGTTTCTCAGATCCTCTTCTTAACTCTGACTCTGCATCAAATTGAGTTTATTCATGATCTGGAGGAGATAATAAAAAATAACTCAAATTCTGTTCATAAAAAATCTGTAGAAGTCTGTATCAGAGGGAAAAAGCCCTTCCCAGATTTGATAAGTACTAAAAGCACCTGACAACCAAAATATGAGAGATCAATTGCCATCCAAGCTACTACTGGTGTGAGCCAGGTACTAATTTGATTCAAATATGTGGCAGGCTTGCAACACAAAAGAGCTACAAACAAATTTCCTACTCATTCATGCGAGGGTTTAATGGCTCTAAGAAATTATTGTTTTAAAACATGGGTAAAAGTAAGTGTCCATTTTAAAATTAGTTCTATTTACAGAAACAAGTAAATCCATGATTTCAGTATACTGAGGGCAGTGAACCTTCAAATGTGAAGATGAGCACTCTTTCTTTGGGTCATATAACATGAAAAATAATTGGATCTGCTGGTGAAGAAAGACTGGCCAAAATGCATGGAAATGATTCATTTTCTTCAGGGAAAAAACTACTTCTTCCAACACTGAAAATTCAACGGACAGTGTCTGACAAACCAGTCTCTGGTTTCACAGGCATCAGTTCCCCTCAGGGTTTCAGCAAATCTGTCTCAGCATGTCCTAGGGATCTACTGAAAAGTGTGATTTGCAATGTGCTTGTGTACTCCCAGAAAGTCCACCCCACATTAAGAGCATCTGATGCAATCTCCAGGAGTTGTCACAGCAGCACTGCCCCCGTTTCATCCCTGGGGAAGGAAGTGTCTTTCAGTGAACATGCCTGAACACCTGTGAAAACTCTGCTCCAAGAATGTGACGGAGGCTTGAGATATGGGGCTGCACACAGCGCCTTGAGCCATCTGTGGAGTACTAATCCAGGTGCAGTTCCAGCCTATGGTAATGAGCCGACAAAGCAGTGTCCTTGCCAAAATGCTGGGTGAAAATTAACTGTGGGGATGTGGATGATAGCTGGGAGAGCTGGTGAGAATGACCTCTCATTTGAGTTCATTATGGCAACATCCATTCTCATGGCCAGTTTCCTTCACGCTTTGGCAACACTGTCTTCTGCAGGCACCTCTCTAAAGGCTGGTGTCTGCAAACACCATACGGCAAGTCCCACCAAGCTTCCAAATGGCCTTACCTCCTCCACACTGCACACTGCACCCTTCCCATCCACTGTGCGTCCAGATGTACAAAGAATCCTGTTGCTTTTCTGGCTCGCTTCTGTTTTCAGCAGTATAGTTTACAGGAATAGTGTATTCATAATGAATTCCATAATTCTGGTCATGAAATAACAACACCTGGTTCA